TCTTAAGAAATATACAACGATACTAGAAACAGCTCGTGCTATATATAGTGGAGTATTAGAAGAAAGCTCAAACTTTCTATCTCCCATTTTCGTATTAATCTTAGTGCCTTTTACGCTTTCGCTGAGGTCGCGGTCTACCATTCTACAGTCTACACTCACTCGCACTGACCCATTTTTAAAAATCTTTTTAGCTTTATTATTAAGCATCATTTTCTTCGCAGTTAAGCCATATACAATTGAACGACAAAATTGCGAAAATTTTAAAAGCAACTTAGCAGCATACGTTTAGAATTCCCGACGCAGCGTGAAGTTTTGGCCCACATTTTTTAGTTTTTTTCTAAATTCATCATATCAATGTTGAGTTTACTTACTAAGATGTTTTTCCAAAACTTTTTTTCTCCTTTTGTTATTAACATTTGTGTGTTTATTTTATTTATTAAATATCACATTCTTGGCGCTTATCACATAAAAATTCGCTTCAATAGCAAAATCACAAAATATTTAAAAACAGCATATCTTTAGAATTTCTGATAAACAGTCTCGCGCGCTGGAGATAACAGTGTTTTAGTCCGTACAGTGCTGCCACTGCTCGCTTTGAAATCGTTAACTTTGTTAATCAAAAATTCGTTAAATGTTTACAAAATATAAGGTAGATAATAAAACAATTTCAAAATTCGGGCTTTTAGGTGTTCGTGTTCAGGTGGAGGCCTACGTTATTCAAAACTGGATGCCTCTAGGTACAGTTATTCTTTCATAATGCGAGAAACATGCATACATTCATGCAAATGCTTCATTATTTAATTTCTTTAAATATAATATAGGGAGGCAATATTTGCTGGCAACAATTTGAAAAGTGTAAGTGCTTCGATGCAAAAAACCGTTTCGAGAGTGATGTCCCATTTGGAACTAACATACCTTTTGGGCTAAAAATTGCACTTATGCATAACATTTTGAAAAATTTTGAAATTTTAGCGCCAATTCCATAACACTCCTACGGTTAACAGACTTTGTAATATTGCCCATAAGTATGCTCTTATTAAAACTTTGTTTTATACATAACCGTTAGTATAAATATATTTATGAAAAGTTATCATTGAAACATAAAATTTAACTCCAGAATATTCTTACATTATTATTTATTTAAAATTTTGTAAGTACAAGTGATATTGATTAGCTAAGAGAAAAGAAAAATGATACACTTTCCTTTTGAGAATTCAGCTTCAAAATACAATCTCTTATCAGAATTCTCTAAAATTTTTCCTTAGTATTATTATTATTAAATAGTAGTATTGCTAATAGATGAATTCACTGTGTCTAGTTTATTTTCTTTATACGTATATGAAAGAAATATTAAATTCTTAAAAAAAACTGGGTGTTGATGGAGATTAGAAAAATTATGCTGCACTTCATTACTTCATTCAAAGCACAAATAATTTTAATTCTTAATTTCAATAGTTATAACCCTTTTTTCGTTACAATGATAAATAAAATTGCAAAATACTGCTCTTTCAATTAAAAGCTTATTCAGACACTAAGCTTCAAAAGGAAAATGGGGGAAATTAATCAGGAATAAAATGTTTCCGAAAATATTTTCAAATTTATTACATATGCTTTAAGAATTAGTATCTCCATTGTATATATGTAACTAAAAACTGAAATAATTCTTTTATTGAAAATTGAGCAAACAGCTTAATTTCCCATTAAATTCTCCGCTATAAATTACATTTCATATGACAGTAACTAGCATAAAAAAAGATGAACTTTTTATTTGATGTAATCCTCTTATGTCCGAATTTTCTAAATTTACAGTGGAAGTGTAAAAGTAGAAAAAAATTACGAAGGTATTTCGTTATTTAAATTAGCCTTTCTATTCCGAATTATTTTACCACATTTACCGATCTTATTAAACTGAACAGATAGTACTATTGAATTCTTTGTAAACGAAGCCAGACTTTTGCTATTCGCGCAAAGTTTGCCTCTAATTTGAAACTTTAAGAATGTTGATGAAAATAAAGGCTATGTTTCGTACTTGAAACTTTATCGTTTGGCCGACGGAGCTTTTTCCCGTCGCATTTTTGTTGTTGTGGATTTGTTATGTTATTCTATTAGATGTAAAATCTGGCAACATGAAAACAATGTAAAAGTTTAGTTTTTGATAACTGGAATATTCCACGACTCCAAGAATTCTTTTTAAAATGTACAGTATCTCACAAAAGTGTTCGGACGCTTTAATAATTTGCAGGAAAGGTTCTGTAATCTGAATTTGAATACAAAGCCCAATATTTTTTATATCATCTCCATGTGATTTTGAATAAAACCAAACTTTTTCATTTTTAATACTGACTTATTTTTGTTTCTCAAAATTGAAAATGTAAAGAGGCATTGATAAAACAAGCCACAAAATGACCGTACATCGAAATATTTTCGTATAATTTCATAAATAAAATTATAGTCTACCACTTATTTTTTTCATTTTTCTGACGTTTAAAAGATTGTTTGACCTGATCTTTTATTTGCTTACTTCGTTATATTTTATTTAATGTTTAAAAATGTCTCGTAGTCGTAACGAAGCAAAGAACAGCATTCGAAAATTGATGATTTTTTTATTACAAGGAGGGAAACTCGATTTGGGATATCGCTAAATTAGTAAATTTATAACATTCTACAGTGCAATACATGATAGGATGCTCTAAAGAAGAAAAACCGTATCCAAAATAAAGTAAGAAAAGGTTTTTCGGAAAAGAGGAATCAACGTGACTCAACGTAATCAGAGATTTATAGTTAGAAAATCTGCGAAAAATCCACGTTTGAGTGCTGTAAAGATTTCTGCAGAATTTACTGAAAAATTTTCTCTTTCAGTTTCACTTAAAACTGTTCGACGAATGCTCAGATCAGTTAATTACATGGACGCTCTGCTCGAAGAGCATTTTTTGGAAATTCCAAGACCTTGGTTGGAACAGTAAAGCATGGCGGTGGAGGTGTTTTAGTGTGAAGGTGCATGTTAGCATCAGAATTAAATAATTTAGTATTCATTGATGGCAGCATGAACCAACCATGCTCTTTATTTAAATATTTTAAAGATAATTTAAAATTATTCGCCTAAAATTTGCATACTGGAAACAATTTTATTTTTTTTATCAGGGTAACGATCTAAGCACACTGCCCTCAACGTTCGGCTTTTGGGTGTTTATAATTGTCCACAAGTTCTGACCATGTCAGTAACCAGATTTAAACCTAACAGACCACATTTGGAGAGAATTAGAGGTTGCAGTACGCAGACACAACATTGAAACAAAAACCAAACAAAAAAACAGTAATGATGGAAGAATGGAGGAACATTGATGTAGATATTACAGAAAAAAACTGTTTTTTCTGTAATATCTCAGACGTTTCAATCCCAGACGTTTGAAAACTGTTACAAATACTGCAGGATATACTACAGAATACTAACTGACAGAACTACGACACTGTTCACTAATATATGCAGATTTCTTTAAAGCGTACGAAGACTTCTGTGAGGTAACTTTTCTGTTACTTTTTAATTATTGATTTTCCAAAAAAAAGTTTTAATATGTTCATAAAAAATTAATGTAGTTTTGCTAAGAGAAATTTATAGATATTATTAAAGAATTTTTATTATAAAATATTAATTTTTTAATGATAAAGCAATATTTCACTAAAACTCGTAAGCGTACGAACACTTTTGTGAGCCATTGTATTTGCTGTACTGTTTCTTTTCCTTTTAAGAATAAATGATTAAACGCTATCACTAATAAAACACATCTCTAGTTTCTTATTATGCTACCTACGCACAGGCTATATATATTATTATTAATTACTCAAGAAATTTTTTTAACTATGAGATTTAGTATTTCCGTAATTTATTTTCTTTGTAAGTAAATATAGGTATAACAACATAATAATAACACTTTCTAAAAATTCTTTTTAATAACTAATTTAAAAAAATTTTTTTTTAGTTTTAAAAACTCATTTTCCTGTAACGTTGTAATATACTAATTCTAATTTTCGCAGAAAGGCAAAATTAATAACTAAATTTTATTGAAATTCCCACTGAAATGTAAAACGTTTTCGTCACATATTCTCATAATAAATTGTTCTGCTTTCAGAATTACACTTTTTCCAGCACAGGTAGAAATTTTTATTTTTATTTGAACTTGGAACTATGGGATTTCTATTCTATTTGAGCATTATAAAAGAAAAATAATTAAACCGTGTTTTGAGCATGATAAATTCTTGCACTGTTGTTTTATAAATAAAACAACAATTTATAAAAAAAGTTTGATAGTCAGATTTCAACAGTACCCTATATATTTTTAAATTTCCTCACAGTGTGTTTAAAAAAAATGCGGTATTAACAATATCTAAAAAAAAAAAAAGAAAGAAGAAAAAACACAAGCTAAGTAATATCAGGAATTAACAGGATGCATATTGTGTAACATCTCTCTCAGTTTCAAACACAGAAAGACTCTAATTTAATCTTTTCCAATCTATAGCTCATAAGAACTTAAATTTCAAATGTTTTTAAATTAAAATATATTAATATATGTTTATAGACCAGTTTATTTCCGTCTGTAGTATAAGAAGTTTTTAAAGTTAAATACCTGTTGGTAAAATTCATTTCTTATTTGTTGCAATGCATTTGTTTTACAAATATCAAATGCAATTCAGATTCGCCAAATTCCAAAATTGCATCAGCTTATGAACAACTGCATCAAAACTTACGAGGATTGCTCAGTTTATGAAGAAATACCACGTTTTTCGAAACTCAGTTTAACTACCCAATTTATTGCTCAGCTAGCTATTTCTAACCATCAATTAGTTAGTAAACATATTGATATATTAAATTTTTAAAAGTATATTCTAAAGCTGCATTACGGTTAAGTATAATATTAATATACATATAATCCTGAGGTTAAATATAGAACAGGATACTTTGTTCTTCATTTTAAACTTTTTAATTAAAAGAAATATTTCAAACAGCAAATTTTTTGAACAATTTCAGAAATGTATAAACGACTAATAATGGGTTTACAATAATAAGTATAAAGGAGACAGTGTATAAAAACATTACTTTTGTATATTTTTACCCACTATCAGCAAAAAGCTTTTGTTTTGAGCATCTATGCTTTTTAGCCGATATTCTTCACTCACCCCAAAAGCAATATGCGCAGTAAAATGTTTAATTTTCATACATTTTTCGAGATCATATCAATGTAATATTTCTGAAAATTAAGTTTCATATTTACGTCAACTGAAAGTCTCAACATAAGTATATTGTTTAACTATGCTGCCTGTAATGTATATTATTACAAAATTACCTGAGATTATTACAATGATGATTTAATTATTACAATGATTTTTTATTATAATGATGATTTCTTTTCATAAGTTTTTAAAACGAAATAGTAACAGGGATATTTTTCAGGTAACACAAACTTGCTGAATTATTCAATGGCTCCCAGATCAAGCATGGACTGCATTAAAAAAAAAAAGTTAATATTTTATTGACGCATACCAAAGAGGAAAATTAAAAGATTATAACACTCTAAATTGGGAAGGAAACATGAAAGATATCATTATGTCTTATAGAAGAACACAGATCAGACACCTACCTGGCAGTGGTGCAGTCTTTGTATAGGGCGTCAAAGTCCTTGCAAGACAGAAGCTTGCACCGATTCACGCCAGGCTGTATCGCCCCCAGACCTCTCAGAATCCGAACTTGCTCGACGTTGCAGACAATGGGCGTAATGTCCAGTCGTTTGAGCTTTGTGTAGACGGTGTGCAGCCCTCCTACGAGGTGTTTCAAAAAGAGTTCGAAGGCCTGAGGCAGACACAACAAGTAGTCCCCGTGAACCAGAAACGCGGCAATCTTCGCGCCTCTGTAGTCTATTAGTCGGCAGTCATTCGTCGTCATATCAGCTGCGATTCCTGGGGGAGATGATGAGGGATGTAGTGATCGGTGGTAACCCAGGGGAGCATGCCCCATCTGTGGATGCCCAACAGAGTGGTGCTGTTGAGGCATGAGACCCTGTCCGCAAGATCGCGGAAGATTCGGCGGCACTCCTCCATTTGGTTGAGAAGAAGAAGGTTGGTAAGGTTTACTTGTCACTAGTGACAAGGCCGGACCCGGTGGACTGACCGATGAACTGCGCCCCAGAGAGGACCCGGGTGAACCCATCTGCGAGAGTCCAGCAACATGTTGCTTGGGGCTGACGACACCACCGTTTGAAGGGGGGTTAGCTTCGCCCCCTGCTAAAGTCATATTGTCCAAATTGGGAGGCGTCTGGAGTGACCTCGGTGACGTCATACCTGTGGTCGGGGATGGTATCCCCGGACCGACATCCATGCCTATTTTTAGTTTGCCTGAAATGACCGCGCCAAAGATTCTTGCAGCACGTGTCCGAGATCTCCGAAGAGAGAGCCACCGCGTGGAAAACGACTCTGCTCCCCAAACAAACTACGCCCGCTGGTCGAGTGCGAGTGTGCGTTGTTCACGCGGTTCGGGGGTGCGCGGGGGAAAGGACGATCGGTTCAACCTCCGGACGGGATTTGCCTCCAATAGCGAGACGCGAGGGGCGGACTGCGGGGTTGTGACGTCATGGACACGCGAACTGCGCTCATAATTCTAGTTAGCCGGAGTGTTTTTGTTCTGTCTTTTCTTTTCTTTCCCAGTCGTATTCTTCCCTCTTTTTTTCCCTTTTTTCTCTGTAATCGGTGAGAATTGAGAGAGCCGACGAAAAGCGTATTGACTGCTGCCCAGTGTCGCAGTTTTGCCGATACATTAGAACTGCTACTGCCGAAAAGACTTGCCGCTGAACGAAGCCGTTTTCCCCGACAGATCGGTTTCTTACTACAACTGCTTCAAGTTATTTCTTCCTCTGTTTTCCGTTTCTCAGTTTTCGACGCAGCGATTTTACCTTTTAGCGTCTGGATAGCATAAGGGACTCGTTTTTACCAAAGCAAAGATTGTAAATATTTTTCATTTCATATTTAATTTTTCAGGTCTTACTAAATGAAAAATATTAATTACAGGAAGTTAAGGGGCTCATGAGTTATTGGTTACTCAATAAACATTCATAGTCAATACATATCCATGTTCTGTCTAACTTTAAAATAGTGAAATTTCAACTTTACATTTTTGTCATATTTTAGTTAGCTTTATGCATTTCAAGGAAACATAGCACTTTTTTTAAAAAAGGAGTTAAAGTATTCTGCTAAAAGATATTAATTGACCAGATTTGCTAGGAAAGAAATGGAACTCTCAATGTCTGATTTCAAGGCATTTTAGCACTTTTTTCATTAGAACACAAGTAAAATGGAATTTAAATTCCAAAAAGAGCCTACTGAATTCTAGAAGAAAATAGTTTATTGATAAGCCTGAAATATTTTAGTCTCAATATAGTTGGAAAATAATGGAAATGATTTAGTAACTAAATATCACATTGAACGCTATCACACCATTTCTAAAGTAGGAACAATGCAGTGAAATGAAATGCAGTTTTGTAAACTTGGAGAATATTACATAGATAGCAACACAAGTATTTACAACAGTAGGCTTATAGTTAGCTAACACCAATGCTATGAAATGTATTTTATGTTTACAGGGTAATTATAGCAATCCCATTTGCGTGTTCTTGTGGTGTAAGTGTTTAGTACGTCCAGCTGGCAGCTGGAAGGACTATGGTTTGAATCCCGGAGAGGACATAGTTGACTTTTCATGTTGCTTTGCTCGAAAAACTAATAGTATCCACAGTGGCGCCCGAACTAAAACGTCGTAGGTACTATTCTGTTTTGAGGGCCATAAGAAAATTGCAGCGAAAATATAAGTGCAAAAGCGCCAAATCTAGCAAACGCGCCCGATTAACAGCGCGCCAAATCTAGCCTACGCGCTGATTTCAGATTGCGTAAGTTTATATAGTTCTATATTTCTTAAAACGCCATTGAAATACTAGTTTAATTTTTAAATCCTTTTTTGATTTTAGATTTTTTGGAATCCTATGGATTTAACAATTTGGGAATGCCCATGAACGAAAGACCGGCAATAGAATTTTTTTTAAAGTGCAAATCACCCCGCTTGACCTTTTCACTTAAAAAGTAAAAGAAATTGATAAAAATCCAATTGTTTGTACCCTTGTAAAAAGCGCAAATAAGTGAGCGATTCTGCACTTTACCGAGAATATTTTCAAAGAAAAGGCATCATTTCATATAGAAAATTACGTTGAACAACCAACGAGATGAAATTGCTTTAGCGATAAATCGGTAGCGAAATAGCGTGCAGTCATCCATTCAGTTATGTTAGTACAATTTTTATAAATTTTATAATAGTTGAAATAGTTATTTATTCTTATGCTTCCCATTCAGTTTTTAGCCTTCCATATAAATTATAATAATAAAAAGTATTATATGAAATTACTTTTCATTTAAATTAAATCATCATCTTAGATAGTTATTTACATTTCTTTCCTTTCTTTCTTCTTTGCCACAATTCTTTTTTGCAGCATTGGCCACGAATTCGTTTTTTAAACCGGAGCGGGGGCCCTAACCGAATAGTACCACATCGTGGATGGTAACTTGTCACTACTTATTTTCAGTCGTCTGGGTTTACCCCAGTGACCCTTGAAGCGTAAAAAATATATGATATTATCGCGTTGTCTCGGGCATATTTTGGGGATGTAAGTAATTAACATGTCCAGCTAACAACTGGAAGATCCACAGTTCGAATACCTGTGAGGGCAGAGTTTTTTTCATGCTACTTTGTCCGAAAAACCTAAAAAACTCTGCATCTGTAGGATATAGAATTAGAGCAGGAGATTTGATAATCTTTTTCAATCAGTATGATAAACGTCATAATTTAATAGAGATTTAGCAGCAAAAATATGAGATACTGAAAAATCGTTTGGAGTACAATTTCATATAAATAAGTTCTTAAAAGATCTTTGTAAATCCGTGTAAAAATCCGTGCATATTTTTTTTTTTTATTTTAAATCAGTGTGCTTCCTCCACATACTGTATTTAAGATCTATGCGCATTTATCTGGGCATAAAAAGAATCAGCATCATAAATAAAACTGCGCACGAACTACGCTAAATTGTGTAACAAAATGATTAAAATCAATTCAGAAAATGCAAAAAAAATTCAGTTATCCAATGCAGAATGAATTTTCATATTGCGAAACAATATTTTTTAAAATTATTTTATGTAAATTGTCTTCTAAAATCGAGTGAGATACATTCCGCAAGAGAAGAAGAGGAAGAATGACCTTGTTCATTTACGTTAGCTACACATAAGTCACGTGATCTCTAAGATCATCTATGTTGTTTGTTTACATTAGCTCTACGTAAGTCACGTGATCTCTCAGGTCATGGGGATGTAACTCATAAATTACGTTTAAATAAATTACTGGATAACAGGAGTAAAATTTTAACACGTACCTTTCCTTTGAAATAATTGAAAAGTAAATGATAAAATTTAATAAAAACAATTACTCAATAGCTTCGTGAAAAAGGAAAGTAAAAAAAAAAAAAAAAATAAAAATCTGAAAGCTTTCAGATTTTCTATTACGCCCAAAGGGGCGTTTTTTCATGGGAGATTCAAAACGGATTTGAAAAGTAATATAGACATTCAAAGTTATGCGACTCAAAATAACGTTAGACGTAACGTCTTTGCGTTGCTAGTCTAACAATATAATGTCACCAAGAAATGTAAAGAAACCTCGAGCAAAAAATATCCGTTTGAAAAATATGCGCTTTGAAATCGTTGAGTTTGTTAATCAACAATTAGTTAAAGTTTTTCAAAATATGAAATAGATAATAAAAGAAATTCCAAATTTCACATTTGGACATCTTTTGTTGTCTCTAGGTAACATTGCTTTTGCACAGTGCGAGAAACATGCATACATTCATGCAAAATTTTCGTCATTGAATTTCTTTAAATATAATGCAGGGCTCTAATATTTGGTAGCAACAATTGGAAAAGTGATTCAGACTTTTGTAGCAAACCAACGTAAAATGCCAAAACGAAATTAATAACCTTCTGGGCAAATTGCCCCTTTGGGCTAATAAATAAGTAAAATCAATGGCTTAAGTAGAAAAAATAATTATTGAACTATGTTTAAAAATCTACTTGGCACGAGAATTCAAACTCGGAATTATTTATATCCAATAAAAAGAAAAATATTGAAATCCAATAAAATAGTTTAAGTTTGTACTCATCTTTGCGTCTATAAATTTGTTTAAAAGAAGTTTACTGAAAATTATTTATAATAAATTACAAAAATGGAATTTAATCGTTTTTTGCTAAACATTAACAAACAATTAAAAATATTTCGTTCACGCTAACTAGTCTGTCTTTCATAATTATATAATTATATGCTCTTGCCATCGTGTAAAATAAAATAGTTTGCATTATAATTAATTATAATTTATTTTGCTGACCTTGAAGAATGATCTTTGTTTTGTAGTCTTATAAATATTTTAAACTTTTTAACGAAACTTTTAGAAACCTACTATTTATTAATTTCAATGTACAATTCAATAAATTATTTGTACAGAGAAACGGAAGGAAATGTTTTGTAAGATGAAGTTCTTCAGCAAATTAATTAGTCGTATACAGCGAAAAAAATGGGACAGTTCTATATCTCCCATTCTGATATTTACGGTGCACCCTGTATATATTACACAATAACCCCTGCTTTGTAAAGGGGTTATCACAGCGACGGTCCCGCTAGACGGGACTTTTCTGAAAAACGAGATTTTGGTAGGATTGGTTTAAACGGGAGAATTTCTAGGAGAAATAGCTTCGCTGGAAACGAAGTTCCGCCTAGCTACAGAAACGATGTTACGGCTACGCGGGATATTTTCAAACTCCGTCGAAAATGTTTCGTCTGCAGGTCTGTCCCACGTCGAGATCAACCAATCAGACGAAAGTTCTGCTTCTGAAGGATCATGCGATCCCAATCTAAGCGATAATCGGTTACTGATTGGCTTTTTGATTGGTTACTGAAGTCTGTTTAGTGAGTGAAAATGGTAACCAAGCTACGTAGGTTTCGTTGAAATGTGCGGGTTCTGAGAAATGTCCCTTTCGACCTCCAGTCCCGCATAGAGGAAGCATATGTGATAGGGACTTTAATGTGGCGTTCTTTATTTATTATCCACGAACAATTCCGGAAGATAGGATTCACGAATACAGGAGCAGCACTACACTTCATCAAAATAAATAACCTGTGACATTGTAAAATATTAGATTGAGTTTTTAAATTTTAAAATTCAATCTTTTATTAATCTTAAAATATACTTCGCCTAATCACAGTAGCTTTGCAGTTGGACCATAACTTTTACGATCCCTTACGTATCTTAATTTTTTCAGCAGTTTTTACAGCCCTAATTTTTACGATTTCTCTGTCGTTTCATATTACAGGAAGTGACTGTAGTATAAATCCCTTCCATGCAGGAAAAAAATCTGATTAGCATA